GTGGTATTGCTTGAAACAATACACAGTATCCTAGCATATTGGAGCATTCTGGAGGAAACAGAGTAGCTTGAAATAAGATACATTATACAACTATGAACACAACTTACTATGGACTTTCCTAAAAGTAACCATTGCCAGACTTAAGGCCCAGACATAAAATGCTACACAAACCTATATGTAACCAAACTACGTACAACTTAAGTATGCACTATCCAATAAAATAGTCATGCCAGCAACTGCCAATAAGTCACGGTGGTACATGTACATACATGTATATATTTGTACCTCTTATTACAAAACAGCTCTTAACTTCGTAACCCTAAGCATGCATTGAGTGTAGTTACAAATGTAAATAATGTGTAAATTCCTTACACATGCACACATCTTTATGTTAAATACAATCCACACTTTGAAAATGATAAATGTACTAGACAATATACAGTACATGTATTGTATGTATGTAACAAAAGCAAGGCTGGCTGTAACCAAGATTCAAGCATCCTGAAATAGGTATTCCATCAGATAATGTTTCACTGATGATGGCACAAAGCTCCAATGGCACTTATTGGTATATAGGAAGCATGGGGAACTTCCTTTCACTACCAAGGCAGTCTGTGTCTAGAACATTTCTGGTCAAAATAATAGAGAAATGGGGGTAAATTACAGCAAGCTGTACTACATACACATTGTACCACATATCATAAAACAAATCATACATATACATAATTTAAAGCCTAAAAGAACTATATGGTGATTATAATATATATTGGATTATATTAAATAAACTTTTTAAAATTATCTTTTTTTGTAAACAAGACATGTCATGCCCATGCATAATTACATTATACTGTTCAAAGTCATTTTATCTACATGTACATTTTTTCACCGGGAAGACAAGAAAGTATCATCAGCACAGGTGTGTGAAAATGTTATTGCAAAGTTTCAAATATTTTTATACAAAAGTCTTGATCTCTCATTCTGCATTTCTCTCTGAAAACTCTTTTACCTGCTAGACATTAACACCACTAACATTGTGTGAGCTTCTTTTGGCCATTTTCACACACCTAGTCACAATTCTTTCTTATCCCTCAATCCCAGTACAGAATTGGTTATAACAGATAATAATCTTCCTACTTATTTTGATAAATTGAAACAGACAATAACACAGATTCCCTTGTCAATTGCACAAAATAGGGTGAAAAACAAAAGATCAATGTTAATGAATGAGTACAGCCCTTTTATTTTCATTATATATAAAGTCATGTATATCAAACTTGTGATAGACAACTACTACGTGTAGGTAACCATTACTGTATAATAATATAGACGAGTAAAATCCTTCCATAATACTTGATTCTAAAATTATATAATACATTGCTAACACAGACCACAAAATAAATGT